CTCTGCACGGCGAATCGTGGCCACCTTTGACGACTGGGCCACCAGTAGGGGGATGAGATGAAGTCCATTCTTCATAGGTTGCATATTCTAATCAAGGAAGCAATAGCAGCGCCTTTTAACAAAGTATGTCACTGTATATTGGTTGGTTTGTTGTTTAACGCCGCACTCAGCAATATTTCAGCTGTATGCCAGCGGCCTGTAAATAATCGACTCCGGGCCAGACAATCCTGTGATTGACATCATGAACATCGATCAACGAAATTGGGATACGATGACAAGCGTCAACAAAGTCAGCGAGCCTGGCCATCCGATCCCTTTAGTCGCCTCTTACGACAAGCATAGTCGCCTATACGGCAAGCATGGGTTGCTGAAGACCTATTGTAATCTTCCTGTGTCGTCACTGTATGTACTACAACTTTGTTTCCCACCAGTGCACTTACTTCCCTGTCTGACATACATTGACAAAATGTAGCACAGCAACCTTGTAACAAAACGTCATTAATAATGAGCAAATCCATGCAGAGTCAAAATTGTTATTATGACATCACAACGATGATTGTTACGCATTATATATGATGTCACAGTCACTTATTTCAAGGTCCTTGTTGTCTTCAAAATGGTAATACACTATGTTAGTATTTCTATTGAGACATTTGTTTTGCACATGTCACGACTCTGTATTTAATACCCCATTTTTAATATTGTTATCATTTCTTTAAAGTGCATACGGACCTTGATTCTTGACAAAATGGGGATGCGGTCCTCATATCAGGTGTTTCAATCAGAGGTACTTAAGGTAATTTAAAACTTATGATTGGCAATCAGAAGAGCCATAAGAATAGTCACATTCAGTATTTCTATTCATATTTAGATTTGATTCCTGTGATCACTCATTCACTCAACTGACTCGGTGAAACTGAAACTATTCTCTAAGAAAACAGGTAGATTAGTTAAAGATAAACGAAATGTGTTACTTAATCACTCATTGTATAACATTGATGTTCATTCAGAGTGAGTGAGCAAGAATTAGTTTACTCCGCTTTTAGAAATATTCCAGCAATATCACTGTGGGGACACCAGAAATGGACTTAACACACTGTATCCATGTAGGGATTCGAACCCGGGCCTTCGGTGTGACGAGTGAACACTTTAACCACGAGGCTACCACACTGCCCCACAGCCCCACAGACCCAAAATTTAGCTATTATGTTTATATCAGAAACGAAGCCTGTTTGAAATAAATGTCCCATCCATAAACATGGACAGGATGTGTGGAGCAAATTTTTTTTCACATCCCCTTCCGCCACATCACAGCCATTTAAAGGCGAGTTTTAGATAGCCGAGTCTGGCTCAGACAGGCCACTGGTTCATTTACACCATGAAAAAGTATATCAATTTACAGTCAGGGTGCCATGAAAAAGTATATCAATTTACAGTCAGGGTGCCATGAAAAAGTATATCAATTTACAGTCAGGGTGCCATGAAAAAGTATATCAATTTACAGTCAGGGTGCCATGAAAAAGTATAACAATTTACAGTCAGGGTGTTTTATTTGCGATCTGTATTTTAATCGGGTATTGCGACAAGTATGCGTCTTTTCTCCTCGAAACTATCTACGATATATCGAGTTATCAGCAGTTCGAGACAGTACTTATAAGATTGCTGGAAGGTACATGAGTGTCATAAAATTCCATATCAAACCGGCGCAGGCTCGGCTTTTTATGGGAAACTCTCTTAAAGATCTCTGCATCTAGTTTATGTGCAGTATGTTGTAAAGACCAGCAACCCTGCAGTGTTGGTTGGATGAAGTTGGCTGGCCTAAAAAGTGAAAAAGAAGGACCAGGCACTTTCCACTCGAAACCGTCAATGAGTATTTGTTGTTGTTGTTGTTGTTGTTTAACGCCGCACTCAGCAATTTTACAGCTATATGGCCTGCAAATAATCGAGTATAGACTAGACAATCCAGTGATTAAAATCATGCGCATCGTTCCACGCAATTGTGATACAATGACATGCATCAGCCAAGTCAGCGAGCCTGACCGCATGATCCCGTTAGTGTAATTGTGTATTAATCACTGTTTTGTCTGGTACAGACTCGATTATTTACAGACCGCCGTCGTATAGTTGGAATATTGCTGAGTGCGGCGTAAAACAACAAACCAACCGACCAACTATAAATGTTCTATTAGAACAATACATGAATGCATAACATAAAATAACCCCAAACACGCTAACTTCTTCTGAGGCATTATATATAGTGGAGCATTATTGTTGCACATGCCTGACGGACGTGACTGTGTATAGAAAACACACATTACAATACCCAGGACAACCTGCGGGTAAAAGGAAAACATGGGACAAACGTGCACATAGTGTATTCCTCTTGATATTCTAAGCACAGCTAGTTAAAGTTGATATATATGTACATGTATGAGATCACTTCTATCCAGCCTTAGTCATGGGTATACGTTCGTAGAACAAAAAACATCTTGACAATTACCACATATTCAAAGGGATCATCACTTTGCTGGTTGAAATCCCTAGCGTTGGAATAATTATTCTTACATAAACACCGTAGTATTGACAGTTCAATACATCGATATATCTCAAGGGCAATGTACGCCAGTCGTCCTTAGGTCTGCGAGTGGGGGATTGTCTTGAGAGGAATGTCTTCGATCAAGACACATGTTCTTAGTATGAGTGTATACAATATTCTTCCATAAAAGTGTAGATATGTAACAGATAGAAAACGAGTGAGAGTACGTTATCGGATTATAAAGGTATAGAGTTGTGAGAACAAAAACAACGAGGCAGTGAAGTATTGTCACACCTCCATCTGCCAAATACTCGAGTTCGAAATAAGAAGTAATATCCGTGTATATTGAGAACAGATTTCCCAAACGGCACTTTTCACCTTCAACTCAAACATACGGCCAGGCTACTGCATAAATCTCCAGCTATTTGCAGCTCTATCGGTATTGTTGTATAAAATGTATTGACTGAATTACATTTACAATATAATTGAACTAAACGGGACCCTAATTCATGTGTCTTTTTCTATTGCCAATGAAAGATATAGTTTTAAAATTTCCCACGTGAGGTTAATGACGAGCTTGACAATAGACAAAAGACATTACATTGAAGTGCTGTTAGTTCAATATTTCCTTAGCTGTTTGTTGGTATTCTGGGTGAGAAAAACGTGTTCCCTCCGCATCACTACTGTTTTGATATATTGAACAGCAGTCTTATATGGTTACAAACTAAGATATATGCATGAGTATATGTTTTCATTTAGTTTGTATGTCCTTTAAATGAGTGACGGGTTGATTGTAATGTCTTAAATGCTCGTTCACAATGATGAATAAGGGTCGGCTGTCACTTTATTTAGCGGGCTTTAAAAATGATCAGTGAGCGTGTCAGATTTTGGTTTGGTTTGGTTTGTTGTTTAACGCCGCACTCAGCAATATTCCAGCTATGTGACGACGGTCTGTAAATAATCGAGTCTGGACCAGACAATCCAGTGATTGTTATCATGAGCATCGATCCGCGCAATTGGGATCGATGATATGCATCAACCAAGACAGCGAGCCTGACCACCCGATCCCGTAAGTCGCCTTTTATGACAAGCATAGTCACCTTTTACGGCAAGTATGGGTTGCTGAAGACCTATTCTACCCCAAGAAGTAAAAATAGAAATAACCTCACAAACAAACAAAATATTTAACATACCTTGGTTTCGTAGAGGCTTCATTTCCAAATTTTGAACTACATGTATGTAGTGCCTCGCTGCCTTTATCTTCATTGTAACAACTCAGAGTTGTTTTACATTAATATATTTAATTATGGTTTGCTATATTTCATGAACAGTATATCTTAATATCTTGAACCCTGGGCCCTCCGATATCAATCACGATATTTTCATGACTTTTAAACAATTTGCAGATTTAACAGCCCGATGGTTGAATATTGTGTACGATTTTAGGTCAATTTGACCTAACGTTATTTCTATTTTGCAAGTTTGTTTGTTGTTTAACGGCGCACTCAGCAATATTCCAGTTATATTACGTCAGTTTGTGAATAATCGAGTCTGGACCAGACAATCCAATTGTTCATATCAAGAGTTTTGATCCACACATTTGGGATAAGTCCCTTAGGCTTACAGCCCTAGCCATTTAGGCGCCTCTCACGACAATCATATTTTACTGGGAACCTATATTGAGATAATTCTTACAAGGAATCCCAACTTAGTTGTAGTATGAGTTTATTTGTTTGTTGTTTAACGCCGCGCTCAGCAATATCACAGCTATATGACGGCGGTCTGTAAATAATCGAGGCGTTGGAATCATGAGCATCGATCCACGCAATTGGGATCGATGACATGCATCAACCAAGAAAGCGAGTCTGACCACCCGATCTCGTTAGTCGCCTCTTACGACGCCTTTAAATTTTACGGGTCTTCACTGGTCTGTAGTATGAGGACAACATGTACACACCCTACAAACTTTCTACACATCCTACAGGAATACACTTACTAATATACAATGTTATACTTAAAATGTTTGTTTGTTTGTTTGTTTTATGTTGTTTAACGCCGCATTCAACAATATTTCAGCTATATGTCGGCGTCTGTAAATAATCGAACCTGGACCAGAAAATCCAGTGGTTTACATCATGAACATCGATCCACAATTGGGATACGATGACATGCATCAACCACGCCAGCGAGCCTGACCACCCGATCCCGTTGGTCGCCTCTTACGACAAGCATAATCGCATTTTACGGCATGCATGGGTTCCTGAAGAACTATTCTACCCCGGATCTTCACGGTTCGTTACACTTAAATAGTATACTGTAATTCATCTTAACTCAACTCAACTGTAACTCAACTTAACTTCGTCGCTGCACTCATTCGCTCGCATACGTATTTTTTTCGAAAAAATAATAACATTTTGTATTTTAACGAATGACTTTATTTCGAATGTCCTAGAGAAGACGATGTCCTAGACAAAGCTAGTTATGTTTTGTTTTTTCATGTCAACCGTTTAAGTCATGCCGAACAAAACAAGATTTGGATCATTAATATTTGGGGTGACATGTTTAGGAAATTGAGTGCTTAGTCTTCACTACCAATCCCCAAAAATATTCATGATCCTCAACTTTTGTTGTACAGTATATTAAAGTATGAGTGAAACGAGTTAATTAAGGCGTGTTAGGACAAGATCCTGAAATGTTCCTTAACGTGCCTTTGTTTGTATGCTACTATTGTCATCACATCCTCGCGGTCGATACATTCATGAGAACGTCATCCAAGAGAATAAGACAGCGTGTTGTTAGGGTCCGCTTAATGCAGGACAAATTACACACGCTTCTATAAGTGTATCGAACTGTATCGACAGTGGAAAATAAACAACAGGAATAAGGTCCTTAAACATAATTACGGTCGAGTAGGTATGTTCACACACAATGTACCTCAATGGCGTAAGTGTATTGCAGTTGTTTAAACTATAAATATGATTGAAAATTTAAGTGCATGCTTAACAGTTCTTGACCATGTTATTACCACTAAGGCGTCACTTAAATATCGCCCTCTTTAACTGGAACAAGCCTACACAACACCTGTAGAAGTCCGTGGAGGCAACAGCAAGAACAACACTGATGATAACAGTGGTTCCAATGGTCCCGATGCTGATGGCCGAAGGTCGATCATCTGCAACTGATGTCTTGCTTCGACGGTAGGACGATAGTAACTTCTTCTTCAGATGAAGGAGTTTCTGTTCTTCCTTCCAATCAAACAAAGTTTCTCGCTTTCGGCAAATACATACTGCCCCACGCACTGTCAAAGAAAGAAAATAAACATCGTTCAACGCAAGACTATCAGAGAATAAACGTTTAAAGTCTCAAAACAAATTTGTTTGTTTAACGCCGCAGTTAGCAATATTCCAGCTATATGACGGCCGTCTGTAAAATAATCGAGTCTGGACCAGGCAATCCAGTGATTGACATCATGAGCATCGACCCACGCAATTGGGATCGATGACATGTATCAATCAAGTCAGCGAGCCTGACCACCCGATCCCGTTAGTCGCCCTTAACGACAAGCATAGTCGCCTTTTACGGCAAGTATGGGTTGCTGAAGACCTATTCTACCCCGGAATCTTCACGGGTCTCACAATAAGTAAATACATACCGTCATGTGTTCTATTAAGGAAAGCAAACGATGTTCCTGTACTGAGAGAGCATTCATTCATGTATTTCCTTACCTGAACTATTACAGATTTGCAAGCCATAAACGAGTCCCAGGGTTGTGTTTGTGGTTAAAACAGTTGTACTGCTGTCATGATTGGTAGGTTCCGTTATCGTTGGAGTATTGACAGACGGTATAACAGCAGTTGTAGTAGGATCAGCTGTAGTAGAAGCAGCAGCAGTAGTAGTAGCAGTAGTAGTAGTAGTAGTAGTAGTAGTAGTAGTAGTAGTAGTAGCAGTAGCAGTAGTAGTAGTAGCTGAAATAGCTGTAGGCGGAGTTGTAGCAGCAGCAGAAAAGGTGTCAGCAGACGTTGTAACAATGCCAATTCCAGTACTAGCAGTTGCAGCAGTAGTACTGTTTGTAAGTGCAACCGTAGGACCAGAGGCAGATGTTGTGGTAGCCAAGTATGTAGTATCAGTTGAAGCAGCAGCAGTTGTAGTACTAGTTGAAGCAGTAGTAGTAGTAGTAGTAGCTGTAGTAGTTGCAGCAGCTGTAGTAGCAGTAGCAGCAACTGTCGTAGCAGTAGCAGTAGCTGTTGTAATACTTGGAAATGTAGTAGCTGTTGAAGCAGCAACTGTAGTGGTGTTGGTGTCAGTTGTGACTGCCGCGTTGCTTGTATTGATAGAATACGCGGTGGTGGCAGTAGAGGAGGCACTAGGTGTCACAGTGCTCGTAGTTGTAGATGCGTTACACCTGCCATTGGCCTTTGTATCATTGTTAGCAACTATATTTTGAGTTGCTGGGTTGTAAATGCCTGTGGAGAAATATAGCTCATTAAATATACTTAAGTATGGAATAGCAATTGTAGTCCTCTCCTTTTTCCTATTAGTTTCAAATGGGGACTAGACTCAGGCGAAATACCCGTCGTTACGAGCTATCAACTCAACTGTAACGTAGCAATAAATGATAATGATTGATTAAATAAAACAGAGACAATATTTCAGTTTCACATGACACTAATTACAGTCTTAGGTCTTAAAGTGATCCTGTTCGTGGAGCATAGGCGGCTTAATGACTTCCTTGTTAGCTGATAGAATATTACACAGGGTGTAAGCGCTTTTCATGCCAAACCGGAAGTTGGTAGGTAACTACCATTTTCTCGCTAGACAGAGAAAAATGTGATTTCACCCGAGCACATAAAGCATGTTTTAGGGAAGTTTTTAACCCTTTTAAATAATATTTTGAACTAAGTTGAACTTCTAACATGCACCGAAGGGCTTCCGCACCATTATCGTTGTAGTACTTATATACGACACAAAATAAAAAGTTCAATATTTTTTAGCGTTCCTTTTGATGTCATCTGGTACGAAAGCGACGAATTAAAAACTAGGTTCACTTCAGTTTGAAAACGACATCTTAATTCATACAAGCGTACTTTAAGTCAATTGTAGCTTGATTGTTGTGTTCTATCAAAATCACTTCCACGATAGTTTACGTATAGCCTTTGATTAAATGCGCTGCATGACAAGGGTTAGTTAGAGATTACAGGGACCGCTGAATAATGGGATTGACGTTTCTACATTCGTCTACATAACTGCATATGAAAAACCCTTCAAATATCGATCTTCGTGGACAGTGATAATAATACGGTGAAACTCGGAAAAATATGTACAGCACTCCTTACAATACTTTACAGTGATAATTACAAAATTATTTCCGTTGTTAAATATAACGAAAAAGTAAAAGTAATGCGTACAGATGTGCTTTGCAAACGTAAAGGCTTAATCAAATGGGGACACGGGTGACCCAATAACAAAAGGTGCCGGAATTCGCTGTACAGATTTGAGTCCCTTGAACACGACAGAAATATGATTGTGCATAGCTGCGTCCCAATGATTATTGGTTGAAATCCCGGTTCGCTCAGATTATGTTTCTAGGTCTGTCATCAACATACCCATACTAGTGGGTTTCACCAAAGTGGTAAACGTCTGCATCACTTCATGCTTTCCTACCACAATGAGCTGACACGCCATGATATAACTGGAATACTGTTCAAAGCGGCGTTAAAAACCCAACTCACTCATTCACTCTCAACGAAATGTGAATTCCCTAAAACATCGAATAATCAGAAAAATTCAACGATGACATGCAAGACAAGTATATATCTTTTTTGCAAAGACAAGGCGTAAAACATTGCACACAAAACCAAAAAACACCCATCTGTTTTCACAAACGTTCAGATTCGAAATTAGAAGATACTGTAATCTTCTGAAATTCCTTCCATTATGATATTATTTCAAACGTATACCTTTTCTTACGTATAAGGTATCTCTTTATGTACCCTTTTGTATCCGATGTTACCTAATTTTGAGCCGTGGTCGCCGGTCGCCGATCTCCAAGAATATCAATGTTTGTATTACATTTATGATACCATACAAAGACCTAATACCCGACATTGATTCAGCCAGTTTGTGCTGTACGTTATATAATTACCTATGAAGCATCTCTTGATGTAGACAGTGGAAGATGCCGACGCCGATGTCGCCGGTTGTTCTTCTCCTATATACAGGGTGCTCCTCATGGCCATCCTGCAGAGACTGAGACTGGGTGTGTAGTCACACGCGGCACACTCCGTGTCTCCTGCGTCTGTAGTCCGACACAGTCGTTGACAGGAAGCAACGTCCTGACTCGACACGTTGACGTGCGTCTCCGTGATCAGTCGACCATCCAGCGTCTCGAACGGGCACTCGTCTGGAGATTGAAATCCAAAGTAAGTTACTTGCATTCAGTTACCGAAGAAGAAGAGAAATAGAGTGAATGTTCTCTAACTCTGCAGTTTATATTCTAGCTACGATTCTGCTGATCGATTCTGGAGCAGGTAAACCAGCTATTTTTAGCATGTGCAAGGATACAAACCGTCAGGGTGCAATGACACACCTTCAACCAGGTACATATTGTGACTACCAGATGCTCATCTGTCGGTCCTAAATGAGATGTTGACCCAAAGACAGAAACGTTGTAAGTAACAACATATTAAGGGAATGCTTGTTTGTTTGTTGTTTAATGCCGCACTCAGCAATAGTCCAGCTATATGACGGCGGTATGTAAATAATCGAGTCTGGATCAGCGATTGACCACATAAACATCGATCCACGCAATTGGGATACGATAACATGCATCAACCTAGTCAGCGAGCCTGACACCCGATCCCTTTAGTCGCCTCTTACGACAAGCAAAGTCGCGTTGGCAAGACCTATTCTAGCCAGGATGTAATGCTTGCATTTTATCTGTTCAGTGCGGAATGCTGTTTAGATCCATACCACTAATCCCACAATCATATTCATGTGCATGTATCACCTTATTCAAGCAACATAAATAAGACTAAACAGAGGAATAATTGAAACTGGTGTAGAGAATGTGGTTTATACATAATCTAAGAAAAGTATCATTTCCCTAATGAATGGTCGGTAATTTGAGAAAAACAGTGAGTTGGGTTCAACGCCGCTTTGAACAGTATTCCAGTTACATCAAGGCGTGTCAGCATATTGTGAGAGGAAACCCGGAAGTGATGCAGGTCCCAGACGTTTACCACTTTGGTGAAACCCTTGAGTACGGGTATGGTGATGACAGACCTGGAAGCATAATTGGAGGGAACCGGGATTCAAACCCATAACCATTGGGACGCAGCTCTGCACAATCATTGCGGCGATTGGCAATGGACGATGGGCCACCCGGTCCCTTAAGAATTTTTGTGGAAGGAGATACAAACAATGGCGGGCCTGATATAACATCACGATGTCTTTCCTGAGTATTAATCGGCACACCCGATCAGACTATCAACTAATTTGTCTATTCCTGGTCCATTCGCTGTTACAGAGCGTCATAATATTATTGTAATATTACGTTAAGGGAACCCACCATGAAACAAATTGTAAAAATATCAATAGCCTGTCTCGAGTATCCAACAAAACAGATTCAACCGGGCGTAAAAGATGAAAAAGCGGTGAACATATTAACAACACCAGGTGTTCGCGAAAAGGGTAAGCATGTCCTGTCCTACCGGTGGCTTCCGCCATTCACACAATTTGCATAAAAAATATATGTTTGTTGCTAGACGCTGGTAAGTAAAGTATGGAAAAGTTAAAGTTAAGTAATAATCATCATTATACAAAAAATACCTTCTTCCTTCTGACACACAACGCAGGACATCATATTGCACTTTGTTGTACGGATTTGAAAGTCATCTCTGTCTAGTCGTACACAGAAGTCGACATCTTGGTGATTAGGTTCGTTGTTATACCACAGAGTGGAGCTGCCAAGTGGGCTACAGTCTCCCTGCCAGCGATACTGAGCCACGGACGCGTCGTCTTGTTCTCTGTCGTAAAGTCCCGTCCACATGTCGCGTGTCCTGTGTATGAAGAGGACCACAGAGTCAGACCTTTGTTATTACATGTGTGATACTTCCTGTCGTATTGAACAGCAGAACTATTTCCTGTGGTCAAACCTTTGATATTAGTATATATACTCACACGCAAAAGAAACGCAAGTCGAGTATGCAGTATACATGTTATTTATTTTCAACAGTAAAGACAAGAGATACTAATAGGGCAAGATTGACAAAAATTTGACTGAAGACAGTTTAATGGATTAAAAGGCAGATGACATAGTTGTTTTTTTCAAATGTTAAGGGCTTACACAGTTTCGGGTCAATACCCAAAATGTCAGTCAATACCTGGTGTGACAACCATTAGCATTGATCACTGCCACACATATCCTGTGCGTACATTGTGCAGACGCCTTTGAACCTCATCCCACAAGTGTTCGATGGGGTTCAGATCAAGGCTGAGGGCTGGCCACGGTAGAACACGGATGTTGTGTTGTTGCAGAAAGGCCACGGTAGCTCTGGCAACATGGGGACGAGCGTTGTCCTGCTGGAAAATGTGTTGTTGATGTTGTGCAAAAAATGGAACAACGTGGGGTCTGATCACTTGGTCGATATGCCGCTGAGCAGTGAGGCCGTGTCCCCGACCTTGACCAACATTCAGAAAGCACATGGGTCCAAGTCTCGCATTAAGTCCAATCCCTGTCCATATCATGACGCTAGATCCACCCCATGGATCCCTTTCCACAACGACTCTGTCAGCGAAACGATCACCTCGACGCCGCCAAATTCTGACTCTTCCGTCTGCATGGGAGACACAAAAGCGACTTTCATCAGAGAAGATGACACGCCTCCACTCACGATGACGCCAATTGCGATGACCCTGTTCCCTCTGAAGTCGTGCTTGTCGATGCCGTGGTTGGAGAACAGGACGACGTGCTGGTCGGCAACATCTGAGGTTGTTGGAACGGAGACGTCGGATCACATTGTCCCGGCTAATGTGTCGATTATGTGTTCCTATGGTCTGTCCAGCACTTTCACTTGCAGTTAGGAACGGATGTCGCTGGTAATGACGGTTAATCTGCCGATCTTGTCGAGGCGTGGTGACCCTAGGACGACCGCTCCGAGGAAGGTCATCTGTGGTCTGTGTAGCATTGTATCGATGCAGGAGACGGTAAATTGTGGTTATGTTAACGTTGAAATGACGGGCAACATCTTGGACAGACTCTCCAGCTTACAAACGTCCGATAGCCTGGTTTCTCTGAATTTGAGTTAGGCGTGGCATTGTTGACCAAGGAGTGGTAGGTCCAAGAATCGGCCACAGTTTTATACCCACTAAAGTTCGTTACAGTTCATGCATTTTCGATTTCGCGAGAAATGGGTGCATGATACCCACATATTCATTGAAATGGTGCGTTTTGGCGATTCGTTTTTTATGTTGCGTTTTTACTCGGGGCTTCCAAAATGCAACCAAAAATATTGATAACACCATCAGGCTTCACTACATGCTAAAACTCGTATCAATTTATGGTTCCGTGTTTGTTACCTATTTGCTTAAAACCACTTGCGTTTCTTTTGCGTGTGAGTATATGTGTTGTTTTCTGTTGTGTTGAACTGAAAGACAATTTACCATGGTCAGTGTGGCTTCCGATAAATGCCAGAATCATATTTATTTATATTTTGTTAATGTTTCAAACTGACGTATTGCAGTTATCTACATGCCGCACAGTGCTTGTTGTGAGATCGTCAATACTTAAGTTATATACATTTCTTTCTATACATCGATCCACTCAATTGGGATCGATGGCATGCATCAACCAAGTCAGCGAGCCTGACCACCCGATCCCGTTTGTCGCCACTTACGACAAGCATAGTCACCTTTTTACGGCAAGCATGGGTTGCTGAAGACCTATTCTACCCCTGAATATTCACGGGTTGTTTCTTTTTGAAAAAGAGATGAACTTTCAAGTTTGAACGTAACCGATATCTAACTCAGGGCCAACGAATTGTTTGGAGTGATGGAACGTTGAAAATAATACATTTTATGTTTATTGAGAATTTTCGCTAAATCATGTTCCTCTTAGAGATACAGTAAACTACATTTATAACGAACACGCTTATAACGAACTATAAAGCATAACGTTTAGGATAAATATACCATAGGATAAATACGGAAATGTGGCTGTCTCGTGAAAAGAAAAATGTCACCACAAAATGGAAAACTACACGATCGCGAAATGTAAGGGTATCCTAGGTATTGATATGTGTAAAGGAACAACTTACAGATATCCATCTGTTTTCCATTTTTCGGCGATTATCTGAAAAACAGTCACCTCTTCCGGATTCTTGATGGTCAGCATATTTTGTCCAAATTGATCACAAACATCTTGAGCTTCATTCCAGGTGTATTTCTGCTTGAACAATGTGAATGTTCGGACACGTCTGGTGTTGGACACCATGCCAACTGAAACACAAATGTCATTAAATGCCCAGATTATTATCCTGTTATTAAATAGTACGTGTGTGGGTGGTTTAGTCATTTGTTTGTTTGTTGTTTACGCGCACTCAGCAATATTACAGCTATATGACGGCGGTCTCTTAATAATCGAGTCTGGACCAGACAATCCAGTGATTGACATCATGAGCATCGATCCACGCAATTGGGATTTGATGGCATACATCAACAAAGTCAGTGAGCCTGACAACCCGATCCCGTTAGTCGCCTCTTACGACAAGCATAGTCGCCTTTTACAGCAAGCATGGATGGCTGAAGACCTATTCTACACCGGATCTTCACGGGCCGTGTGAGTTAGTGAATGCTGTTTAACGCCTCAGATAACAAAATCTCAGTGACGTAAAAAATTACGATTCTGGACCAGACAAACCAGTGATTGAAATCGAGTTTTGATATACGCGATATAACCCTTTCCATATTCATAAGACATTTGTGCTAAAAGCAGAATAGATAGTTGGATTCCGACTGTACCATGCGCCGCTGTTTATAAATCACTATCACATAGTAATGACACCAGGTGTTCACGATTAGGTGAACGTATCCTTTCACACCGTCCGTTGTTGGTTTGTTGTTTAACGCCGCACTCAGCAATATTCCAGCTATATGACGGCGGTCTGTAAATAATCGAGTCTGGACCAGACAATCCAGTGACTGACATCATGAGCATCGATCCACACAATTGGGATCAATGACATGCATCAACCAAGTCAGCGAGCCTGACCTCCCGATCCCTCCCGATAATGTTAAATCTCATTGGGCTAGCGGTATAAAACCGGTAAAAACTCGGACTATTAAAAGCAGCCACACACACGTGCATGCACGTCGCTTCATATAATAAACATTTCTTGAACCCAATTCCGCTGCTCCTCACCTTTTCGTGTCAGCTTTGTTTTAATCAACGGCAATGTTTTAGTTTTGTTATGACACTTGACAACACCTTTATAAAGCAATCATCCCCCGTTCTTGTTTGAGAGTTGCCTCTAAATCTGTGATACATTTTCTGTTTTGAGGTGAGAGTACTGCACTGCACTATTGGTGTTTTACAACGTATGGCTCGCTATATACAATGTGTATCCCTCTTACAGGAAATTTGCTGTACGAAGACATTTACACGTGACAACCTCTTTATATCTGATAATACCAATCGAAGCAATGGTTTTTCATAAGGGTTATGGACCCGTGAAGATCCGGGGTAGAATAGGTCTTCAGCAACCCATGCTTGTCGTAAAAGGCGACTATGATTGTCGTAAAAGGCGACTAACGGGATCGGGTGGTCAGGCTGATCACTGGATTGTCTGGTCCAGACTCGATTATTTACAGACCGCCGTCATAAAGCTGGAATATTGCTGAGTGCGGCGTTAAACAATAAAAAAAATCATCAGAGACTAGTTATGGCACTCTGTGTGTTATTAAACTGTATTTTATTTGAATATTTGCTCAATGAAAATAATTATATTTCAGTGAATGTCTCAGGTTAACAAAACAAGTTTTAGTGGCTTATTAGTTAATCTTCTTTTTCTCCGGGAACTGAACTGGTCGTTTACTCCAGTGAATTATGGAGATTGCAATGTGTGTCTAGTCAACATCAAATGCATTTCAAACCGATCTCAATCCGACCATGATTTATGCTACCCGAAAGGCCATGTTGAGTTTGGACATCATAAGAAGTGAGTTGGAAAACAAAGAGTTTCTATTCACATTGAGCAAATACTAGTAACAGTCTGGGATACACCTTTGTCTCAGCTGTTTATATTCCTTACATATTAAAAGGGAATTCAACCCGTCTTCAAAGCTGCGACAAAATACACAGATTTTAAGCATTTAACAAAGGACAACCTTCTGCCAATATTGAGATTTTAAAGGCCAAGACGAAATCTTGCCAACTTTGGGGGATTGCTTTACGTTACAGGTAGCAATAAAAACAAATAGTGTACATAGACGTGCTTTCACACCAAAGCATAGTTCCTTTACACAGATCCGTTACATGTGTGTATAAGCATCTATCCAAGTCGGCTTCTAACATCCCGGTTAAGTGTAATTCTGGTCCGTTGATATTTCCTCATTTTGGTCTTCATTTTGGTAAGTTTAATTTTATTAGAAATTCTCAATACAACACAATGTTGCATGCAGAGACCCATGGTTTGTAGTCTACGATTCAACACATATGCGCTGCAACAATGTCATTTCCGATGTGACTGTATGCCTTATACAATGGTTGGTTGGTTGTTTTAGGCCGCACTCAGCAATATTTCAGCTATATGACGGCGGTCTGTAAATAATCGAGTCTGGACCAGACAATCCAGTGGTTGACATCATGAGCATCGATCCACGTAATTGGGATACGATGACATGCATCAACCAAGTCAGCGAGTCTGACCACCCGATCCCGTTAGTCGCCTTTAACGACAAGCATAGTCGCCTTTTACGACAAGCATGGGTTGCTGAAGAGCTTTTCTACCCCGGATCTTCACGGGTCTCCTTATACAATGGAGTGTGCCATACGGTGTGGACGGTCTTGTAAGAATTATCAAGTTATAAACCCACCAGACAGTAAAAGTCCTTAATCGTCCATTTATAAATCGATGAACACTTTATCTCTTATACAGCTACGAAACACTTCATAAATTCTATAGCTACCAAACACTGCGTTTCAAAACCTTTGAAACAACAGTACACATCATATTTGCTTATATTTATTTTTAAACATTATTGAACACTATGCATGTCGTAAGAGGCGACTAACGGGATCGGGTGGTCAGGCTCGCTGACTTGGTTAATCAACAAACAAACAATGCAATGTAGTACGAGTACGTATGCATGTGAACTTAAAGTGTGATGCCCAAGGTATATTTTAAAGCTGTTTCCATATAGATAAGCCGTTTTCCTTCCCTAGAACTTTGCTGGCGAGGGGTTAATATTGTTTTAAGACGTTTATGTTTGAGAACGGAAGAAGTTGGAACGGAAACAATATTTTAAATACTGTTCAAAAGTTAATGACAGCGAATTTAATTTAATTGTTGTGGTGTTATTATACCTTTGAATACATGTTTAAACGTGGTGTTGATTATAAGGCAAGAAGACACAAAATATCAATCAATCGATGTTATCGTTTCAACGATAAAGCTTATTTAAATGATAATACCAACTTGTAATTATACAAGTGATACCAATTTCTCAATTTTCTCTTTCGTAACGAACCCTGAAACAGTAACTTACTGTTGTTTCACTTAATGGTATTTGAGACATCAATTTCAGTCGAGGACATGTTGCCATTATATCATAAAAGATCACAAGAATGTTATATCCAATGTTTGCATGTGGTCTACTTTACTGGATTATTCAACAGTTTTTAGTGTATTTGGCTGAATTTAATAACTTTAGAGACTTAGGGCTTTACATAGTTATATCCTTGCAAGAAAAGGAGCACTGTCTAAACAAATGCGACACGACAAGTTCTAAACAACTTCGCCTTCAAATGAGTCCAGCCTCGATTATTTACAGACCGCCGTCATATACATGCAGCCGGGGCATTGCTGGGTGTGGTGTTAAACGACACAGAAACAAGACAAGTACAATTCAGAGTGACTAGGTGTTCGCAGAAACGTTTTAAGCATGTTTTACCCCTACGGTAGCATATTTTGAGGCCAGGTCACTTATCTTCATAGACTGCCTTAGAACCTATTTTCAGAAAGTAATTTTCACTCTATTACTTAACGTACGATGTCAACGTTTTAAAAGGAGATATTTTAAGATACTGTGTTTCACTGTGGGTATTTCTTTCCGACACAATCCAACGGTCGCGAATGCCCAATGTGTCCACCTGACCAAAACTGATCAATGCCGGTGCGATTTATCTGAAATATATCTGACTGGCGTAACACTCACTTTGAAGAAAACAAACGAAGAAACGTGGGTTTTTGTTTATCATGGTAGAATTACAGAAAAACAAACATACCATTTTATTCAACACAATATATTAACATGTAAATGAATCACTTAAAGGCCATTCCACAAACGGTAATTTTGTTCAACTGTGGTGATATGGCTATGAACTCGGTGATGCATAAAACCGGTTTCTAGTAACGAAATGTCACCACAACTACATATATTACGTCACTATCCAGGAATTAACTGCACTTTTAACACAAGAAGTTAGCCGTGAAGCGATTCATACATGCGGCTACATAGTACAATATCATTCTATCACGACAGGTTATAAGGTGTATAAGATTTTTAATCTTACGTATGTTCAGCTGCAAGGTGATTAACTGTAGCACTATAGAGATACATTAATTAGGAGATAAACATACTCTGTTTTCAATGCAGAGCTAGGTCACCTGTAGATTTAAAATTTGGTACCGAACGCGCAGCGTGATGTTTCAAATGTTGAATTTAGCGCGGTTAAATCTACAGGTAACCTTGCTCTACATTGAAAACACTGTATGTTTATCTCCATTCTACCACGACTAAATAAAACGCGAACTCTTTGGTGTTAGCAGTTATACTGAGTGAAGCGGCATGGGTTGAGTCCAGTGTTCTGAGTGGGTTATCTCGATTTCGAATTACGGAATCACCGAACAAAATATGGCGCTGTTTATACTCAAGCAGTTTGATTACACCGTAATACTTCACTCGAACATATGACAGGCATTGAAATTACATAAGCACGGCAACTTGGTAAGCTAGCATGAGGTGGGCATCCCTAAAGAAAACAAAGCAAGCTTTGTAATGCTTTCGCTCTACACCGCACGTCATCATTATTTCGTCATATCGCTCATTGTGACGCAAAAGATATGACGTCATAGTCGTATAGAGAAAAGCGTCAATATTCAAAGCCCTCTGTTGTCTCCAAAACGTAAATACATTCCCTTTGTAGATTACGATCGTGTTTTCTGCACGAAATGTATTGCCACACATCCTTTGAATATTGAAGTAGCCGCATAATTATT